GAATCAACAATCAATATCAATCAATGAGACAGGATGATGTGGTATGAGTTTCTTTATGGTTTAGTGAAAGACGCAGGACACAAGTCTTATCAAGAGTTATCAAGACTGTATCATGAAAACATGACGAACACTAAATAACCCTATATACACTTCATAGACACACATAATAAATGTTCAGGGTGCTAGCATCGGCCGTGTCGAGCCGTGCCTCCGTGGTGTCACCATCGTGTCACTCGCGGCGATGGCACGCCTCGGAACGAGCTTTCGCTTGGTCTCCGCTGTCTCCGCAGGGCTGTGGCACTTGCAGGTTGGGGCTGGTGGTGGGACACATGAGAAAGGGAGAAAGGCAAGGGTCAGTAGGAGTTTTGAAAACAGGATTCGGCAACTGCCTGACATAGTTTGTCTCAGTGGAGGTTGTACTACAATGTGAATTCCTTGCTCATGGCCCTGGCATGGCACACCAAAACACCTTAAAACAGTTTGTTCATCAAGGCTCAGCATGTAAGAGCAAAACGAACTCAACAGAGACTTCAACAGTTCGGTTGTCTTCAAGTGACTCAGATCGATCGCGTTCGTTGATTGCATTCGTTGATTTGCATCACGATCGTACAAACCGGTCACCTCCCGTGCCCTTCGTGACTCAAACGACACGCGGAACCTGTCCATGGACGATCAGTGGCAACCGGGTCCGCGGGGGGGCGAGAAACCGCGGCGTGCTCCTTTGGTCGGTAAGCTGAGGCAACAAAAACGATCATTGTAGACTCTGGATGTATCAAACCTCCCCCCCATTTGGATGGTACAACCTATTAAGTATTCGATGATGAAACAACATCAAAGCTATATATAGCTACGTGTCGCACTGGCAACTGCGACGGTTCCTCACTGAATCCAGCATGCCTTTGAGAAGGAAGGCTGCTCAGCTTCTTGTTGGGATGCAAGCGCTTTCCCGCATGTGGAAAATCAAGATCAGTTGTAAAGGACGAAAATGTAAAGCAAGCTGTAATGCAATATTGGATTGTGAACTCTCAAAAAGCAATCACCACAGCAACAAAACGTGACTCGTTGTTTGCTCCGAAAGTCCGGGTTCATGGCGGTTCCATCGCTCCACGGTCGACTGACTGTTGGTCGTCAGGGACGTCCGCTGTATCACTCCGATACCAAGAGCTGCATCTCCACGTCCAGGACCAGGACGCTGGTTTTGCCTGGTTTTGCTTCAGGATGATGTATTAATCCACTTCTGGTGAAGATGTGTTGATATATGTTATAGATTTTTCCGGTTCCGGAAGCAAATCCAAGAATGCCATGGAGAAACTCATAGGTTCCCTCAATCCTCGACCAATGAAGAGCCGTGTTCGAACGAGCTTGCGGTGAACTGGGCCAGCTTGGATGGAAGAAAAGTCCTAGGGATGGTTTCCCAAAACTATGTGCAGTTTGAACCTGATTTTTTTCGCATGAAGAGGGTGAACACGCGGGCAAGCAAACATCTGAATGTAGCTGGACCAACTAAATTGGTCAGTGTTCTTCTCCTTTTCGAGAAAAAGACACATTTTCGAGATCAACGCTGTTTGGTATTCCAGTCAGCCTGACGAAATTCATAGGTGGAGGTCAGCTGATCCTGGTGCCGTTGAAGAAATCCTGAGCCTAGAATCTCTAAATGAAAAACCACATTCCTTGGAAGCTGCAAGTCATCCTTCCATTTTCTGGACCCCTCGCCACGTGATTTGGGCCCTAATCCGCACCCATGGACTCAGGACCCATTCAAGAAAAGACAATGCAAACATCACAGCTCACAACATATGCAGCTTCGCAAGGTCAATCTGAGTTGCGACCTTCTCCTCAAAAGTCGTTCCCCATCGCTTCGCTGAGGCAGATGACCCTATTCAAATTGCATCTTTGTTGGTTTCACCGGGGATGCGTTGAACGCACGTGCACTTCTCGATGCTTTGAAGTGCATGTTCCGTAGGCGACAAGGCTGAAAAGCTCCAGGGGCTCCTTGCTTGCCCCAGCAAAACCATGCTAAAGCTATTGTGTGATATTGTGTGGCAACCTTCTGTAGGATTCAGATAACATGATTATATATATATATATATGTGTGTGATGATATGTGAATACATGTTTATTAAACCACATACCCATACATTAATTTTTAATCTACTCTATGGAACGTACCCTAATTATGTAGTTGGTAAATGGATCGTATAAGCCCGAACCTCAGAGACTCAGAGGTGATTGGATAACTTTATCAAAATGGTGATCAAAGAAGAACTTCTCTGAAATTGACGAATCCCAGAATGTTTCCTTTAACCGAGCTTTTCATGTTCCGAGCTTTTCGTGTGGTATTCTTGGACCGATGTGGAGCAAATTCCGACCGTCAATTCTTTGTCACAGGCAGTCTCCAGCTTGTGCCAGGAGCGCTTCCGCTTGCCAGACCGTCCGCCGGCCCTGTGTGGCCGTGTGTGGAGACATCTTCATGGACATCATGGCACCGATCAAGAAGCTCCCCGTGTGGGTCGCTCGGTCCAAGCACGGTTACCGGAGCGGAGCCGTTGGAGCCGTTGGACCGGTTGGATGGCGCCCCGGAGTCGAGCCGGTTGGATGGCGCGGAGGTTTTTTTCTGAAAAAACCGACCCCAAGGGACTTGTGGCTGATTAGGCGGGGAAGGATTCTGATTTGAAGGGCTGGGAGGGAGCTCTACACAGGGAACCGAACCAAATCCTGTCAATGTTTGTTTTGCGTAAGGACTCAGATGTAGAGGCCGAGAGCGTCAAGATGGTGCCAGGACGGGGGACGGGATGTGAGAACGGGATGTGCCCTGCTGCGCTGCTCCGGTGTCTCAGCCCCCGATGCACCAAATCGCAAGTAGATGGCGGGATCATGCGTGATATGACGTCTGTGGACCATGTTCAGAGGGGGAAAAGCATGCAAACCTCCTATTGAGCGTTGTTCCAATCATAATTGAACTTAACGTAAGTCATGGTTTTTTGAACAGGCGTAAAATTGATGAAGGGAACGATATCGAGTCGTAACGTTTGTTGAAACTTGGGCTGATTTTGTTTGGACTGGTGTTCACGACTCTCGAGTCTCGGGTTCTTACTTTCCTGTTCATGTGTTCCTATTGTTTGTTCATTGCAGACATTTGACTTGATGCAGCTTGTCTTCCCAAAGGTCGATCTGTGGTTTATGTGGTTGTTTAAATTCATAGCACGATTTCTTCAATGAAGCGGCCCACCAGCCAGTTGGCCATACCAGCGGCGGCCACCGCTAGCTAGCCGCTAGCATGTTGCCAAAAAGTTGATCTATATGAATCTGTACAATAGAGATCACATCATATCGTATGTACATATTATATAGTAATTTCTTAGAGTTTGTCATCTTTTGTCCCATGTGTCTCTCAAGCGACCTTCCCATCCCTTCCCTTCGGCTCACCTGTCCTGGGACCTCGCGCCCGCGCTTGTCCCGGTCGCGCCAGGAGGCAGTGCGCTGAACCAGGGTCGCCAGCTGCACTCCCTCGGCGTCCCGGTGCGCTTCGTTGGGGCGGCACCTCGTCCACGCAAAAGCGGTGCCGTCGGTCTGTGAGTCCGGCCGGCGGCAGAGTCTAGTAAGCTCACCAGTTGCCTCTTCCAAAGCCGTATTTTAGAGTTTAGTATTAAGGGTGAGAACACTCAAGAAGCTGCGGAAGTGGGGCTGAAATTTGGGTGGAACTATTCTTGGAACATCAACTTGGTAGTAGGGCACGCATGAAACTTTCAACCTGAAGGTGCTTCATTCACTTCAATCGATAACAAATTGCTGTAAAAAAAAAAGTGATAAGGCTTGACATGTTCAGAGCATACTGTTGATGGAGGAAATCATGTAGCACTTTTTTGATCTTTTCTATCTTTTCTGTCCTTCATCGAACCCTGAATTTTGCTATTGGCTTGTGTGTTTTGATGCCCCAAAGATTAAAGTTGTCCAATACAAATCCTGCACCACCTAGCTTGGAACCATTTGGAACCACAACGTTGACCATGCTATGGACATGAGGAGGTAAGAGGAGATGACTCTTAGGCTCACCTAATAGGTGCCTTATGACAGGTTTCTTGGCTCTTGAGGATTGCTTCACGAAGCTGCATGTCCAAAACAGGAGACGGAGCGGGAACCGTGCAGAAGGAGAAAGTATGGTCTGGCCACCGTGACCCAATATGGGCTACCGCTAGAAAACATGGCAGAACTTGGTGGTGTCACTGCACTGAAGAATAACAAGGCACAGTAACACCATGAGAACTATAAAACAAAATACATATTATAATGATCAAGGGCAAATGAGACTGTGACAAAGCACAAAAACACGTGGTAGAGCAAACAGTTCTACTCCATTGTTCAACAATCTGATTTTGAGCTGAAACCTCAGGGTCAGTGTAGATCACATGCGTAGATAACACGGAGATAACACGGAGTGTTTGCCCTCAGAAACTGCCTGTGACGTGACGTGTCAACGATAAGACGTGAGGTCGGGAAAGATGCCATCGGCCACGCGCTCCTGGAGCAGGTCTCTGGGCAAGGCTTGTCCAGAGTGGATCGAGTGGATCGGGGATCGGGGCTTAAGCTTTGGAGAGGGGATCTGGGTATATCTGGGTGGTGGTTTCAGATATTTGATGTTTAAGCTTTGGGATGATTGATCCCATTGACTCCTTCGTGAAGTTCAATTGAAACCAAGAACCTAACGACCACTGATTTTTGTGGATACATCTTGGACCTGGACCGCCGGATCGCGCATAATCCAAATCCAACGTCGACGGGAAAGAACCAACACCAGCAGAGACCCCAAACAGTTGCAGCATTATTTTGTTGCATCAACTAGTTGAATTCCAACGTTGGTGGTAATGTTTGTAATAATTAATCATATTCCTATAGAAGATTCCTGATTCCGGCTCACATGTGCGAAAATGAGGGGATATTCATATATATATATATGTGTCATGAGAAAATCTGAGGATGATGTCAAATTTGGAAAGCTGCACCACTGTACACAAAAACATACCCGGACAAGGCGGTGGAGAAAGGAAAAGCGGCGTGGCCAAGCAGGGGACAAGGGCTGGACTAGACGGTGGTAAACAATCCGACAACGCGGACAAGCAGGACAGACAGACCCGGACAAGGTCTGGACAAGACGGCACGGCCAAGCAGACCCGCACAAAGCCTGGACAAGCGCAGCGGACAAGGCCTTCACAAGCCCCGGACAATAGGGCAGACAAGACAGCCCACGGCGCGGCCACAGCTATCATGGCCAACCGCTTCTTTTTTTGTTTGGGGAACAAGAGGACGACACAGAGTTCGCCATCAGGAGGACACCAAGAGGACAAGAGGAGGACACAGCGTGATCAGAGGCAGAGGACAGCAGGAGGATAGCACAAGGACACCAAGAAAAACAAGGAGGGCCAGCGCGCCTAGCGGACAGCAAGAGGGCACCAGGAGCCCGGACACAGGCTTCAGGGGCGCGGCTAGAGGCTGTGGCCAGTGTTTTCTTTCCCTTGTAACAACCCCGCACTCCGCAGACAGACCACACTGTGACTTCGACCACTTGCGTCTTCGACCACGCCAGTGGCGAAGTGGCTTTTGTGGGTCCATGTGGTCCGCTGAAGGAACCATCCACTTGCGTACCTCGACAAAAGCGAGAACTGCTCAAAGAGCTTTGATCCAATGGGGGGTCCTAGACCTGGTCTTTCTTATGGCAGGTAACTGCACTGAGTCGCAGGCCTGAACAAAAATCTGCACCTCAGTGCATCCAGTTGTTGAACTCTAGCTTTTTGCGCCTGATTTTGCCAATGTAGTTCCATCTCTGCAGAAATATTCACAGTCGGTTGAGGATAGATCGCCCATGATCCGTTTCCACTTCATCCGGGATTCCTTTCCATTGGACTCAGTTCGCTGGATCTGTAGATCTCCCAAATGATCGCTTCCTCACGTGAGGTCCAGCCTTCTTTCACAGGAACCATAGCTGGCCCAGAATCAGAACAGTACTTGGGAGATCCCCTACTGTCAAACATCGATATCTCCGAGCGGTGTTTGGAGGCTTTCCCACTGACTCCATCAAGACCTTCAGCAACTTGCCTTCTTCAGTGTCTTGGACAAAGGGAGGCGAAGCCTTGGCGAACTTGGCCGTTGATATTTTTTGGGGTGTTTGGTTTTTGTTGAATCCATATATGCATAGAAAAACCACACCCAAAAAACACATATCGGAAACCCCTATATAGATGCAGATGGCATTGATGTCTAAACACTGCCTTTACTTTTCATTGTAAAAATGCTCCAAACGGTGGCGCCCAGCTTGGGTCCCAACAACGTGCCTGGCCTCTTTATGTTGCGTGAACGTTTTCTATTACCTGATCTATACTGAAGGGGGGGGTACCTCAGATAATATTCACCGCTTCGCGGTCGAAGCCGCCTGCACAGATCGCAACCTGTGCTCTCGGAGCCGGGAAAGTGTTGTCTGGCGCGCGAGTGTGAGGAAGCAGTCAGAAGGTACAGTCATTTGAGAGAGTTTATGTTTCAAGGCGTAAAGGTTAATATTCAGGACCAATGGTTCTGGGTGGGCGGAGCGCATGGTGTGGGCCAGGGGCGTAGTTGAGCAGGCACAGAGCATCATTTTTACGAAAGCGAGATTGGTCCGCAGGAACCTGTGCGGTCGGAGCCGGGAAAGTGTTGTTGGGATAGCGGGCTCGAGTGTGAAGAAGCAGTCAGAAGGGGGGGGGTCATCTGATGGTTGTGGGCGGAGCGCATGCAGTGGGCCAGGGGCTTAGTTGAGCAGGCGCGGAGCCACTTTTTTGCCAAAGCGAGCTTTCGTAGAAGGCGAGCGAAGTGAATAAGTCGGGGGTGTTGAGGGGTGGCCCGAGAAAGGGCTACGTAAATTCTAATTTCGGTGATGTAAGGTTTTTGAAGTTGTTTTGGAGGTGATTCTATGTGTTTTTTGAGGGGGTGGTGATGCAAGAAATGCAATTAGCATCATTTGCATCATCTGAATGGCAAGGTGTAGTTTTACAGATGCCGATGTGTTGTAGCTTCGTGCAGGTGTGAATGAATACATCTTTGAGAAAGAGAGAAAATACAAACATGCTATATGCTATACGTCTTCCACACCCATATAATTTCACGCAAAGCTTCAAAGGGTGGATGGCTGCACGTTTCTAAAGGTTATCTAGCGGTACGTGTAGTGATCCAACACTGTGTGGTTGTGAGTTGCTGTGATTTTCTTGTGCTAGGGACAACGACTTCATGACGTTGGTGCGCCACAGCAACTGGAGCGCGTGCAGGGGGCCAGGGGCTCAGTCGAGGAAGCCGAAAAGAGAGACGGACGGCGCAAAAGACAGATGTGGGAGCTGTGAGGTAGTCACGGAATGCATGTTCTCATGCCGTTGCTTTGCTTGCTCCGTGCTAGGCACAATTCTCTATGGGCCACGTCCTCAGCATAGAAAACAATCGCAACACTTATCGCACGATCTCCGACGCCCCGCCATTCTGATAAGGTGTGATGCTGCGGGACCATCCGTGCAGCTCCGTTGTGTTGACGAAAATGCGGCGCGCAGCTCCGCATATGCGATTGTTCCCCGCAAAAAACATCAAAAGCCACATGCTCAATACCATTCACCTCATCCAGTCGGACTGGGCACACGACCGAACACATCCACGATATCAATCGTACAGTGTCCCGCGGTTTGCCTAGACGTTTGCAATTTCTGCGATGTCCATAATGCAGTCTCCCCCGGCCGGCATAACCGGCATCGCATATCCATAGTGCAGTGCCCCTTGGCTTGCCGAGACGTCTGCGATGTCAATAATGCGATCTGTCCCAACCGGCATAACCTGCATCGCCAACGTCTGGTTCAATTTTGGTCAATTTTCAAAAAACATTGAAAAGCACAGCATTTCTAGGACACAAATGCGCCCCCCCCCCAGGCTAAAGCTTGGGATTTATCTAGCCGGACTGCTTGCGATTTACACGAGCCTACACAACGCCCTCGGCACCTCCGGTGCGGATTTTTTTGCCCTGAAAAGAGTGGCGCCAAGCTCTGACTGGCCGGCTGCATCCAAAGAACGCCACAGCTGCTTGCACTGTTTGCCTGGCCTTGGCAGGTTGATCTCGTTTTGCGCCCATGGGTTACGCGGATGGCACCCTGTTTGGTATTTGGACTTCATGGTCATCCGAACTCGGGGCCAGTCACATCAGTTTGGGCTGGAGAGGGCGACCCATGAAATCCCCAGAGTAGATCCTGAAAGCCACGGATCCCATCATCTTCACCAAAAAGATCGTCTCTACCATCCCGGCAACGCGTGTGTTCGGCGCGAAATCACACGGTTCTCCACTGGTTAACCAGTGGAAGATCACTTTTTTGGACACGCCCAAAAAAAGGAGGACCTTTGGGAACTTGGACAACTACAAGTTGGAGTGACTGACTGGTGACTCTGAACTTGAGTGAGTGCGAGTTTGTGGGAGTTTGTGTGTTTCTTTTCATGGATTACATTTTTATCGACAATTTACATACCTCCATATCATTCCATACCTCCAGTTGTTTCTAAATTTGTTTTTGTGTCCCTTGTTGCCTCCGAACAAACACACCGACCGCCCGACCTGCGTCGTGTTGTCAGGTGTGCATCGTCCTGTCGGGCCCGGCAGATCGCGCCTTTGTGAGCTGCTACAGCACCACGGACGCCTTCACTGAACGAGACCTTCAGGAGCAGGCGAGAGAGCCGAGCCGACCTATGAAGTCTGATATTAAAATAGATAGTTCTTCCATGTTACTGTAAGTGTTTTTATTGGATAAGTCGAATGTATTCGAAATGATATTGAACTATATCACCTGAATTAACCATGAATTTTACGGTTTGTTTCTTTGGTTGGGTATGGGAAGAGACGTCATGGCAGGTGGTTCTTTGGCGGGTTTCGGTCTCGAGTCGACGGTGGATGACGGGTTTTCACGGACTGGAGGACCGTCAAACGGTCCACCGGTCCGGACCGTTTGGGAACGGATCTAGCTAAAGGGACCGTCTTATCTAGCTAGAGGTGCGGCTGTGAGAGGGGAGGGCCTTACCACCCACCCCCCCCCTTGAGTTCATAGGCAGTGAGGAGAGGCTCTCGTTCTATTTGGTTCCGCCAGTGTTTACCACCAGCACGTTTGGGTATACCACAGATGATCCGCAGTCCACTGTTTATTGGTTCTATGTTTTGTTTCTAGGATGTTTAGACCTGAATGTCCCTGGGGTGCACCCTGGCCAAATGTTGCTTGGATAAATTGTTCTGTGCGATACAATCCCGGATGCTTTTGGTTCTTTTTCCCCGTCATGTGTCTCACGTTGTAGGCTCACAAGCTGGAGGATTGCACTCACTTTCACTTGGGCGGCTACTTCAACATGAAAGGACCTTGAAAGAAGGGGTGCGAGTCGACTCGAACAGAACCGATCGACGAACGCTTGGCATTTTCATGAGAAGAAGTGGGGGTTTGACTGGGTTTGAGGAATTTGTGTTAGGCCGTTTTGCCCCCCAACTGAATAGCCAGGGTCATGGCCTCCAATTTACTAGTGGTGGCCTCCATCCTAAGAGCGATGTTCTTGATTCTTGACCCATCTGAGGAACAAAACTGATTGCTAGGCAGTGCTAGGTGCCAATGGTTTGGCACGGTGTTTGGTCATGCCTTCGCCCACGATGACCGGTGTTCCTGATTGGATCAAAGAACGAGGCATGAAAGACCAACACTTTTATCATTCCAAACCCGGGGATTGGTGAGTGAAAAGCCTTTTGGCCTTCATTTGCCAGCCACGGGGCTAGGCTTATGTAACTTATGTAGCTCTTCTCAGTTCTTGCCGCTTGGGCGGGTCCTGGCAGGATTGCAAAGCCATGACTTCACTCAGTTCGTGGCTGACGCAAAGCGAAGCAAACAGTGGACAATCTCCTTGAACTCTCAGTTGCTTGGACACACAGGGATGACTTGTCGGACGGGAGAGACAGTCTTGCTGAGACGGTCGCCCCTGAGGAGAGACAGAATCTGGCAGAGTTGTGCAGAGATTTGCCACCTCCAAATCAGCAAAAAGGTTGGATGCAATCGCTATTATATAGATGCTATTAGGTTGGAGGCCATTGCTCTTAGGTTGGAGGCCATCAGTAGGTTGGAAGCCATCGCTTCTAGGTTGGAGGCCATTTCTCTTACGTTGGAGGCCACCTCCAGTCCGCTCACAGCTGGGGGGGCTGATCAAACCTCCAAACCAGTGTCGCTCCACTGAGTTGGCCGTGTTCCGAATCACTCGGCTTGCTCGGAACCTGGGTGTGTCCGGCAACCTGGTTCCCCCATGAAGTCCAGTTGTTTTCAGTTTCTGTCCACTTGTTAGCGATGTCACCAGATTCCTGGACCTGATCCAAGACTCAAGTCGGTGCACAAGCCATGCACTTGTTTTCTGATATATTGTGTTTTGACCAAGATCACTGCAACTGTTTCCCTAATCCTGTTCCTTCCGGCTCTCCAACAAATTCATGAAACCTGACGAATCCTGAGAGGAGCGCTCCTACACAGTTTCTTCTTCTCCAATTACGCACGGGTGTGCAAACTGCCAGAATTGGGGGAACAGGCGGAACAGGTGACTTGCCTCTAACCAGGCGGGGGGGTTGTCAGTCTTCCATATTCTATATATTCTAAGATATTCTAAGATGTGTATATATATATATGTATATAGTCGTTGTTCTCAAAATGACAACTCACCTGACTATTGTGTGCCATCTCAAGCTTTTATGACGTCCGTGTTCTTCTTCCCTCCCAGTGGGCTGCGAGAGTGGTGCGTGCTGGACGTCCAGGCGGAAGAACTTTGAGACACTTTTGGTGACAGAAGACATGTCAGACTGTCAGACATGCCGTACTTTGTGCCAGCACAAATGTCAGAAAGGATGTCAAGATACATGCCAGAACACATATCAGGACAATGTCGGCACACTTGTCAGACATAATAATTCCAGAACATATATGTCAAAGGACATACCAAAACCAATGTCGGAACACGTGTCAGAACTCATGTCGGAACAAATGGCAGAACAATTGTCAGAACATTGCGTCAGCGCACGTGCCAGGCAGCATTTGTCAGGATATGTTTATCACTACATATGCAGTGCATTGATCCAAATCGCCTCTCAGGGTGACCGATCACTTTAAGTGACTTCGTTTTGACCCATGCGATGAAAGGCTTGGAATCTTCCAAGTCTGACTTGGACTCGGTCTATACAGGCACCCGAAGCACCACTCCTTCGACTCCCCGTTTCGCACCGCAACGAAATGCGACCGGTAGTGTTGAGCTGAGGGCTTGTTCCAACGGCCACTGGTGTGGAGAAGATAACCACCTGGCATCCTTCCTGGACCATGTGGATCTTTTGTTCGCCACTGGGTGACAAAAAGGATAAAAAGGTTCGTTTGTCCTTTAGAGGTGAACAAACCCGTGGGCCGGTGGTAGTCAGGTCCTTTGAACTCCTTTTTCGATTCCACTTTGCAAGACAGTATGGTTCACTTCACAGCATTGAAGTTCGTTTGGTGCAATGAGTGCAGTTTGACCATCCACCAGCTCCGACACACCAAAAAACATATCCACCTGCCTTTTCAGGTGAACGCTTCGGAGGGTGAACACATTTGCGCCGCCCTTTGCCCAGACTCCGACCGATCCATCTCAGCGCTGCCGCTTTGGATTGAAGACAACGACGGACGGGCGGATGGGCCGCGGGCTTCGGGCCGGACGGTGGAACCTTGCTGCAGCGTCGTGGCGGATTTGTGGCTCAAAGGCTTGGATCAACCCCCGCTTGGGGCACTCTTGGAAGAAACGCGGGGCTGACGGACTGAGCCACCATGCGGGTCCCTACAACAACATCTTGCCACGACTCAACAAGGGGGGTTGTTTTCGCACCCAATGTTTGAATCAATCCAGAGTTCCGATGAACTGGGATGTTTGAATTTGTTTATATATGTTTATTTCTGGGGCGGCTGGGGAGTTCAAACACATATCCAAAGACAGAACAAAGCGCTTTCCGCTATTGGACTGGAGCGACTCTGTGGGCACTATTTCCTCGCAGGGGGAAAACTCCACCAAAGTTGGAACAAATTGCTGAAACAAACCAAACAACAAAATGGTCCGTGCAGAGTCCGTGCACGACCGGATTCGTTCGTGAAAAAAACAATGAACATTTCTGGAGAAGTCCACCTGAGGACTCTGTGAGGTTCTTTGAAGGGGCAATGTGCATTAGACCCCAACACGGTGATGTTTGTTCAGTCTACCTCTGGCCCAAGAACAATGGTTTTGGTGGAACAATTTTAGCATGTATATAGAGATGTTGGGTTCCTAGGACTCTCTGGATCCTCAAGATGGATCGCTCCTACGATCCAAGTGCTGCGCTGTTCGGAGCAAAATCCTGTGAGTTTTTAAGCCTGGAGTATTGTATATGAGTCAACTGGTTTGTATAAGACTGTCTGAAGGATCAGGAGGTTTATATTTATACGGTTCTTGACATGTTATATGTAATCATCAACGGTCTACATTAGGGTAACCATTTTATCCCTCTTGGCAACGTTTTGAGCAACACATGACCATCAACAGTCTTATGATATCTTATGACATATTATAATCATAAAGTATAAGTCAGTATAAGTCTATTCTAGGTTGGAGGCGATTGGCTATTAGGCTCCTTTTGCTATTAGAGGCTGGTCAAACCACGTTCCTCACCCACCGTTGCCTCGGCTCTATCGCTGCCCAGGTGCAAACGCTACCCCGAGTTGATGGTGGTCCCAGCCTTGGCGGGCAGCGTCATCCTCGTGTGGACATGGTGAACACAGTATAGTGCATGGGCTTTAGCAACAAGAATTGAATTGTGTGTTTTCCCTTCAGAAGTCGTGCAGCTCCGTCCGACTTCGCTAGAAGTCGAAGAAGTCGATAAAGAGCCAAACACATGGGGTCATCATGGACCCTAAACCTTGGAATGGAGAGGTGTAGTTGTTTTTTTGTTTTCTTTTGTTCTTCTTTGTTTAAAGTCCCTGACACGTCCTGTCATCACCAAATCGCAGTTTCACTAATGACACGCTGCCTTCCGACTCGCGAATGGCGCAGATCACGCTGCCTGAGGTGATCACGCAAGGCTCCCACGGCTGCACGGCCTACCGGCACCAGATGCCTGCGGTCTACGTGCCAGCCAAGCAAACCAGCCACTGAACGACATGAGACTTGAGGGCTCCTGTCCCATATCGAAAGTGGGTTAGACAAAGGTAAGAACCCCCCTAACACCCACCCCTGTCCCATCGAACCGAGTTACGGAGCCCAAAGGGTAGAATGGATTCTGCTGGACGCTTCTTCTTGAAGGTGACCCTTTCTTAGACTCGAACTAGGGAAATGTGACCATGGAGTTCCTTTTTCGGGGCAGTCTGTCCCACAGAAAATAGAGAGAACGGCCAAATGCCGCTTCCTTATCTAAGGAGATTTGCTATAGTTAGTGCCCTCTATCGTCCAAAAGCATACTCTTGAAGGGTCAGAAATCTTAACGGTTTCATGAAGGTTTCAATTCCTTGACACACCACTCTTCAAATACTGCATGCACTGTATGTTACTAAGTCATGTGCAAAATCACTCCATTTTGCTCCTCAAAATCCGCTGGCCAGTTCATTCATCTCTTACCTCGCCACCTAGGAGTCGTGGACACCACTGGCGCAGGGGACGCCTTCATTGCGGGCTTTTTGTCTTCCTGGCTGCCGCACGCCGCGCCCAAGCGGTCCGAGGCAGAACAGAAGGCCCGGATCTTATGGGAGGGTCAACGATCGGATTTGTTGGAGCATCACGTACTACGTGGCGGTTTCGGATAGATGTTTCACGTTCAACCTAATACATGGGATGATTGAAGCCACTGACATCCAGTTTCTTCTGTTGAAACCACCAACCAGCCACATGTGCCAGTCGCAGCGACTCCGCATGTCTCCGCTCCTCGGCAACACATGACTCCAAGATCTGGTGGATTGGAATCCTTTCATTTCAAACAGGGCGCCGTGGTTTTCCGCGGTCCAGGCCATTGTGGACGCCTGCAAGAAGGGTCATGCCGTGGCCAGCGTGGTGCTGGGAAGAGAGGGTGCCTGTGTGGAACCAGTTCGCCCCAGAGCACCTGGGTTTGCAAAAAAACACCGGGCTTTTGGATGATTTTGGAACATCTTAATGCAGACTGTTGATTTCAAATGATGAATATGGTCTTACACCTCCATGTGGAGGGTTTTCGCAACAGTCTACATAGACTGCACCGGAATAGAAACATAATATGCTGACTGGCATCTACTGCAGATCACTAACGTCCACATCCCAGGAACCTCGGGATTCATTTTGCTTGCCCCTTTGGTGCAACCCATTGCTAGTAGGTTGGAGGCAATAGCTATTAGGTTGGAGGATGTTGGAGGCCATTGCTACTAGGTTGGAGGCCATCGCTATTAGGTTGGAGGCCATTGCTAATTACTATGTTGCGTGCCCCTTTGGGCTGCTGACAAAAGCTGGAAGACCGCGTCTCTTGATGGTGAGATCAATTGGTGGTCGAAGCAGCTAGCAAAATGCTGTGAATATATAATAGGTAGATCGGGTCCATGGATAAGGACACACACACACACACACGCACATGCGCACACGTGCATAGCTGATGTGGGTGCGCAAGACAGAGCACGAGGCTTGTCATTGCTGATCTTAAATCGTTCTTTTGTTGACTCAGTTGTAAGTTGTACCGGGACAGGTTTCTGAGCGAAAATCATGGTCTCTTTGAAGCAGCCGCGAACTACCACATACAAAACACAAAAAGTCTCGCTAAACGCCGAGATTTCACGTAAGAGCGTCATCTAAAAATCGAACGTCCAACCAGAGTTTCTTTCGCGTCCAACGCTGTAGTTGTTCACAAGTCCAACCACCAGGTCGTTGTTTTTTTTGTTCGCTCCATGTCCATGTTTGTCATCGACCGGTGAGTGGGGGGATGTAGATCAACAACACGAACCTGCAAAAGCCGATTTTCAGGGTCAGCCAAGCTTAACTAGTCAGGAACTCGGGTTCCAAATCCCATCTCTTGACATCTCCTGACCAACCTTCCATTACTTGGAGAGTCCTGGAGAAAAAACACAAACAATTAAAGACAGTTCGACACCACCCTGTTTCTTTCAGCACAGCAGCCTCTTCCGTATCTCGGAGTTTGACTCCAGTTTGGGGTCTAAAGAACCTCCGCCCCGATTGATCCACCCGGATCTAAGGACCTCAAGGATCTGGAGTAGTTCGTCCTTCTCTTCCTTCTCCTGTCGGAGGGTGGCACCCGCTCTGCAACAGACGGGGGGGAACACGTGCTGATCGAGCTTTGTCACAGCGGTACCGCGCAACTCAACCGTCGGCGCTGGTGTGAAGCCTGACAATCGATTGGTTCCTGCGAAGAAAGGGCGGCAGGGGGAGGGGGCGTTGCAACCGGACTCAGATGAGTGATGAGGACCAATGAAACTATCAGCTTCCAGTTTCCAGGTGATTTGATTAGCAGCATATAAAACATGGACTCATCAATCATCATCCTAGTCACTAGTCCTTTCCCTGCTGATCCGGTTTGACCTCCGGTTGGTCCTCCTCTACCCCGGGATCTTGGGAGCTGAATACCCCCGGCGACCAGACGAGAGGCACCGATCCTTCTGGGGTGCTGTGGTACTCCGATTCTGCGAATGAACTCTTTTTGTATATCTGTATACATACCAGGACCCTCCAAGGGGTGCCCTGTTTGGATGCCTACAGGGAGTGTGGGGTAGTTTAGCCAGGACACCCCTTGGAGGGTCCAGGTATGTATACCGTATACCTAGTATACCGTATTAGTATACCCTGCAGAGTACCCTGCAGAGTCCAGTTGGACGAGTTTGAAGATGGTAACGTTGGACTTTGACCTGTAACCTTCAGTGTGCCAATATATAGTCCTTGGACTTCCCAGTGACCATACGCATAACTTGGGTGAAGGGTGATCTCAGAGTATCCCTACCATGGGGGCTTCGAAAGAGGTCGAGTCGCCGTTTACAGAGGTCGAGTCGCCGGTTCGACGGGGGGGTCCGGCCCAAAGAGCGAACGCACCGGTCGCCACCGACCGGGAGTGTCGCTGGGTGTCAGAAATCGTCCGACCATAGACTTGGTGAGTTGACATCTCCAATAGACCCTATCTTGTACTTGGTTCATCAATGTTGACCATCTTCCAACAAAACTGTTGCTCACACACTCTGGAACTCCAATGACTCCAATGTGATTCGGAATGCATGACGCGTATATTGCGACTGTGACTGTGTGTTTATAGAAACATGATGTCATAAGTCATAAGTTTCCGCGTTTTCGGGGGTGTCTAATAATAGCCCTTTAGAGATTAAGGGGTTTCTATTATTATTAACCACCCTGGTAAATGAGTGTTCTCACGATTCGATGCTCCAGTGAACATCTGGCACATCTGCGACACCTCTGACCACACGAGACAGTCGACCTGTGATGGGGCAGCGTCGACACTCGCCTGGTTTTGGGGCAAACTTGCAATGGATGAGTCAAAAACGTTTCGACAACTGTTTGTCATGCAACTGGGGTTGGTTATGGACCAGCAGTGAGAGTTTCAGTCCATCCTGCGTTTTAACATGTTCATTCATGTTCTACCAGAACTACTTGGATGGTTTCCTTCATGGGCGGCATCACCGGCATGTTCATGAGCTCTTAGTGAATAATACAGTCTTCATGTACACCCCACGTACCGGTCCACCGAATCTTCCACATGTCGCCGGCTTTCGTTGCACAATGTCGCCAGCGTCGCGTTGCGGCTCGGCATGGTGGATGCTGCATGATGCAAGGAGGCCATCGCTAGGAGCAAAGACGCTACTAGGGGCTCCTGGCCATACTACTAGGAGCAAGAAGCTACTAGGAACAAAGGGCATCGCTACTAGGAGCAAGAACGCTACTAGGTTGGAGGCCATCGCTATTAGGCTTCCATTGAAAGTAAGATCCATCTGAAGATTTGATCACATGATGCCAACAGGATGAGACAAAGAGGATGGTTCCTAACCAGGTCCATGTGATGAGAACCCTGACTCTTTATGAACGTCTTTGGATCCCCGTTCCAAGCGTGTGAAGCAGCCACCACTCAGATCTCAACAAGTTGCGACTGTCAAGAGACACAGTCGATGTGTTGGAAGACTTCTTCCTACAGGATAATTTTCATTTGAAGATACCACAAAGACTAGTGACTATAGTGACAACTCTAGTTTCCTTGTCAAACATACAGCAGATATGATTACAAGAATACGTATCTTGTTTCATTTAGCCTGTTAGCCAACCCATCAAAAAAAAGGCCACACCACACCCATTTCAGCTTGAAGCTTTTCAAGATTAAACGCACAGAATTCATTATTCAAGCTTGAGCTTGATGCTGGGCATGGCGCCATGACCAGCTTTCGTCCTGGGCTTAGTCTTCATGTTGTGCATTTGGGTGTGTCTCAAAACCGGAAGCCCTTGATAGCCCTTGCGTCTATTTGGAGGGAGGGACATCCAGAACCTACTGCTATCAAGCTTACCACCATCATTGCGTCGTCCTGTACGCCGCAATTCTCCGATTTGGGATGATGAACTGTTATCTCGGTGGTGGTTTCAGATGTTTCATGTATTTTCACATACCGTGTTTGTTTTCAACCTTACATGGATAGTATTATATATTTATCCCACAGGTCCTCACTATTTTTTGGTTGCGAGTTGTGGTAACCACCAACCAGTGCCAACCAGTTTGTTTTAGTCCAACTGCTCCGGACTGTGCTTCGATGGAGTCGCCCTGCGGATGATTCACGGTTCCGCGAGGTTGAGTGGTAGATGCTTAGACGCTTTGAACGAGGTCATTCGAGGTCCCCGAACGAACAGTGTTCCTTCGCCGTCTTGAACATATTGGAAGAACATGGAAGAACCGTTCCCATCCGTTGAACCACTGGTTCTATCCGGGTCACCCGTTCCTATCCGCGTTCCAAGGTGAGGACCATTGATGGTGGTCTCCCCTGGGCCCGTGGCCTCAGTGTCCCGACAAACATGGGATCCGTGGCCTCGGCGTCTTTCCAAGGAAAAGTGCAATATCCATTTCCAGTCGTTGAAATAAAAGGCATGCTGCATGCTTTAAACACCACACAAAGTAACATAAATCGGCATTAAACGTTTACCGCCCCACTGAGACGATGATCAAGATTGAACTCGTTGTTTGTTTGTTGGTTCGTTTGTTGATTGTATTTGTTGATGGTTCCTTGCACTCGCGCATTCATTGAGGGACGCGTCTCGAGACACTCAGATCGAAAACGCGTGCCCCGGAGGCCGTCGACGGTGAACAAGTATGGAGCGCGTGAGAGCAAAGAGGTGAGGACGGAGCCGGCCGGTGATGCCACACGGCTACGATGCTAAAAGCATCGAATCGGTGTTTTTTTTGTGGTTTCAGAGATTGTCTCAACATGTCTCAACCTTCAAATGAGATTATTGATAACTGATTAGTATAATTATATATATATATATTATGTTGAAACCACCAACCAGTCTGGAGTTGTTCGAGGAATCTAATCAGAATATGTCCATGATGTGAAGGTACACGTTCCTTCCACCTTCATTTCAGGAGATGTTCCTTTTTCGGATGTGAGATCACCCGAGGGAAGTCGTCCAAACCGTCACGACCTCAACGAAGTCCTGCTACTGGCGCAGCTCAGTGGAGCATAACATCCCCAAAAGCAGCTAGAGATATTGGGGCTTCTACTGTGACAAGGCCAGGCATCCACTGTGAAAAGACCAGTACCCCCAAAAAACTGTGGTACTGAAAGATAGTGGTAACCGGTACTTTTGCTCCTACACTCAGCATTTTTGGGCTGAAACCCAATGACATCCTGCCCCGCAACTGGAGTTGAACTTCGGGAAGTCAAAAGAGTTCCTCCATTTCAATGACATGGTCGATTACTCTCCAAGTCAACATCGAAGTGGATGGCATTTTCAAAAAGAACTGTCGTTCAAGCTGGCCATGCCATCAGCCATCCACGTAAGCATGATTGCTCCAGGGAGTGTACGTATATATATATATATATTGTTTTCTCAAAAGCCCGTCCAGAGGTTCCAATCCACGGAGGTGGGGGGGTTTTTATCCGTTGCCGCAAGATATA